TGAGCTTTTCCAAGCGCCTTGGTGATCCCTCTCGTTGCTGGCTCACCCCCCTTCTCGGTGGGGGTGTGAAAGGATGATGCGCCGTACGCTAGCGCTGACCGGGGACCTGGTATATAGTCCTGAAGGTTTACCGGACCTGCTCCAGTGAGGCGGAGCTGGTCCGAAATGGCGATGATTGCCAAGAGTCTATTGATGGATACATCGCTGATGCGTGGAGGCTAACTGCAGCCCTGGCGCGCAAATGCAACCACCCACAGATGACTTGTGTCCAATATTGCCAGATGAGAGCATGATCAACACGGACGCGCTGCTCGAGGCATTGCGGTAGGCCAAGATGAAGGGCTCGGCACTCGATGTGACTGATCCCGAGCCGTTTCCGGACGGCCACCCCTTGCTTACCACTCCCAACGTCTTCATCATGCCCCATGTCAGCTGGGAAACGCCGTATTTGGTCCCGCGGCTCAAGGAGACCGTTGAGCGGAACCTCAAAAACCTAAGCAAGGGGGAACAGTCGATCAAAGTTATAAATCGGGAGCACCACCATTAGACGTGTTTCCCCGAGTCTACCTAGCTGCCGCTTGAGTCAGAACCCCTCTTCTCCTCCTCAAGTCGTCCTTGGCTTCCCGGATTGTCTTGTCGAGATCAATGCCCCAGCACACTACCTGTCGCTCCTCAATGTCTTTCCGCATCGCTTCAAAATGTTCTTTGCCCGTGTTCGGCAGCCGCCACTCGTACAAGTCCGCCGCGCGCCGGCTGCTCTGGACTAACCACTGGTCTCGCTCTCGGCGGCTGGCATCCAAGGCCGCAAATACTGACTCGAAATCCCAATGGTTTGGCTCATCGTGGCTCCACACGAGTTCCTCAAGCAGGGACGATAGCACTGCGACGTCCTCCATGCAGAAGCCGGCGCCGGAGCCGTGGTGCGGAGTGCTGGCATGGGCGGCGTCGCCGATGATGAGGATACGGCTGGAGCAGAACGTGGGGAGAGGCTGGACGGCTAGGTCGAAGAGGCCCCACTGATTTTAAGGATCGGTTATCCTAACGTACCAGGCGAGATGCGCCACCTGGGATAGACTTACCTTATCCATCTTGTCTTTTGTCAGCCGTAACAGGTTTTGTATCGTCCTGCTGAAGCCTCCCTCATCAAAGTCTCGCAGGACATCTTCCCTCGTGGCAGGGAGGGTGAAGCTTCGGGAGTCCTGCTTGGGCCACGACTGGTTCGAGTCAGTCACAAAGGCAACAAGGTTGAGGAGTTGACCAGTTCCGGGGTTTCCGAGAGGAAACGTGAGGACGTGTCTGCCGTGGCCCATCTGCTCAGGTCAGCACATCGGGGCGTATAAACCTCCTTGCGGATCCTGACCAAGCGAACCGACTTACCCACAGACTCGACACCCCCGTCCTCTCCCTCCCTAGCACCTCCAGGGCGCTCTCCATCGGAATCATGCATCGATAGGCATACTTCCCACTATACCCAGACTTCGCCCCGTACATCTCCCGTCCGCCCACCAGCACCTCTCTGACCTTGGATTTGACGCCGTCACACCCAACCACCGCATCCGCCTCGGCCATCGTACCGTCTTCAAACTTGAGTATGACTCGCTCACCGTCCTGCTCAATTCCCTCGAGCCGCTTCCCAAACTGCACCACTCCCCCTGGTACCATCCCCATCAGCACCTCGAGCCACTTGGCCCGTTGTACCGCCCCAAGATGATCTCCGGCCTTCGCAAACACCTTGAAAGCAGGCTCCAGTTTCCGGGCATCAACAGGGGAGGTGCCGTCCAGGAACTCAATCCACACCGGCGCTTCCTCCTTGCCTTTCCATTCTTGAACTTCACACCCCTTACTGGCAAGTGAGCGGATGTCCCGTGGTGTACGGACGCGCAAAAAGCTCTCGAACAGCTTCTCGTCTATAATCTTCATTGCCCGTACCGCATTCGGGCCAATTCCGAGTCCGGCGCCGACCTCAGTTGCCCGCAGGGACTGTTCGTACACGGTGAAGGGGATGTTGCGGCGGGTGAGAGCTATCGCGAGTGTTGTGCCTGTTATGCCTGCGCCGACTATGGCTATGCGTGGCTGTTTCTGTGGTTGGGTTGGTTTCATGTTCATGGTCAAGCGAAAGATGCGGGATGCGGGCGTTGGTTTGGTGGCGTATATTGGACTGTTCTCAGGTTTATGCTGTTTTGGAGTCGACGACCGAAATTGTAACAATGGAGGATTGAAGTTGTAAGAATCAAGGTGATACTATAATTAAATGTCCGACATGGCAAGTTTGAGGCTGCGAGGTTGGCCTGATTATTGTAGGTAGTATGGGAAGCTGACACGATCCGGACCCAGTCACATCGGCTGCCAATATCCAGGTCGCGTCAACTGCCGATATGAGGGGTACGGGAGTGGGTGCGAGTAGCACAATCCAAACCGGTGTAACGGGACGACGAGTCAAAGCCCGGGCTTCGGGTTCCACGTCGTGGTACCCTACCCTTTGGCGTAAACAATAGGTAGAAAGCAGGCCACGTGTCACGGGACTATCCCGTCACACCACGCCGCAAACAGAGCGTTCATGGAGATGCGGAGCGACAGAACCTTACCCATGTAGTTGTTGGAAGTGGTGGCACTTGAACCTCGGAAACTGGGTTGCCGGTGCCTGACCCTGGTCAGGGGTGACACATAGCTGTTGCATAAGGCTTGAAGAAGGGAAATGGAGAAACAAGAGGATGAACAGAAGTCCGAATTGACCAATGTTCTGGGCGGCTCCCGGGCCCTCGAAAAAAAAGTTCATTGTTTCTAAGCTCCCAAGAAGCGTGTCACCGTGGAATCGTGGCTGTTGGTCTTCCAACAGTAGTACGTACGGGTAGCTCTCCATGTTTCAAGGTTTCTCTACAATGCGAACCCAGTTCGTTTGTTATCGCGGTACATGCCTAGGCGAAATCAAAAAAGCGATCGCTTCAACGAAGACGTAACAACTCCGCTGGTACGTTATACGACTGCAATTGCTGACTCAACTAATTCAACCTAACGATCACCCGATGTTTTGCCGGACGAGATCCCGTTCGTGTCCCCGGACCGGGTGTTGCGTTTGCCAACCTAAAAGGAACGTCCGATGGGAAGGCTACCGGCCACCCAACGTATATCCCCTGCAACATCGGGGCCGCCTCTACGACTACCACCGGCGCCGGAGATAGAGGCCGGAGCGCGTCGCCCGTTCTTCGTTCATACCGATCGATTCCTCTAGAATGTCTCCCACGTACTCGCGTTGGAGATGTATTTTCGGCGCCAGGATCCTGCTCCCTATGAGGATGAGAGCCAACTGCGTCTGCAAAATACAAGAAGTAAGAGGCGGTAATTGAGATGCTCTGGCGGTCGTTTGATGCACGCAGCGTACGGCATACCTGAGGGCTAGCGCCTGAGAGGGCGTCGTGCTGAGACACCCAACGGATGCCTCGCTGGGCGAAGCCTATAAGTTCATCCGCGAGTGCAACATGCGCGAAATCGCACACTCGGGACCCGACTCCTCCTCAACCTCAAGAAACACCGCGCGGCCACGTCCCTTTCTCCAACAGTACTGCGAGGGCGACCGCGGCGGGCCGGGTCAATCGAGGCGTGGGCAAATGGAGACGTGAAAAGGTTGCCGTTTCGGGTCAAGCCCGCTAGGTTGTTTAAACAGTGTGTGTACGCCAGAGTGAAAGGGAGCCATTTCCAGCTTCAGTCAGGACAGCAGTTCCATATACCAAATTGCCTACACTGCGAGAATTATAGCCAGCCATCTATGTTATTGCCAGAGCTAGAAAAAAGCTTCCGAAGGCGACAACCACACTGCATGTTCCCGTCATGCTGCAAGGGCGGCTTCTCATCCGGCAAGGGGCAGCAGGCATTACAAGGATTTATGCCCAGCACCCCTGCTGCTGCCGGAGCCACAAACGGCTTTTCCTTGCAGTAATATGGATTATCTCCATAGGCAGCAGGGGCCAACAAAGGAGACAGCTGTCGAATCGGTGGGCTAACCTGTGGACACTGAGAAACGACGGGATGCCACATTGACAAACGAATATGATACACACCGATATGTCCAGATCAAGCAAGGATGTAAGAACAGCAGGAATTCACTAAATTATGAGCTTTTCCGGAGCAGGATAGGTAGACGGCGTAGACAGCGGCACTCGGGTTGTATGTTGATTGGCTGAAATTTATGGCGTGATTTTGTTCCGTCCTGATAAGTACGACAGAGTCCAAGCGAACGTTCACTAAGGCAAGTCACACGTCGGATTCCGTTCGTCGCTGCCGTTACCCGTCCACCCAATGGCTTCCGCTGTGGCGGGCAACCTACGCCGGAATGGCACACTGCAGTCGTGCGAGCGGTGTCGGAAGACCAAGATCAAATGCGACCATTCCATTCCGAGATGTGGCCGCTGCATGGCTAAGAGCCTCGAATGCATCTACGAGCCAGCGCCCATGACGAGGCGCTTCCGCGCAGCTCGCTTCGACATCCAGGCTGGGCGGGTCCGGACCACCACCCGGGCGCAGGACGCCGCCGAGAAACAGTTGCTGCAGCCGTATGTCTCCCAGTTCTCTGGAAGACATCCTCACGTCTGGGAAGGTGGACAGCTGGCAGGTAACTTGAACGGAACTAACGGCAGCCCCGTGCCAGATCTGCAGAGACGCAACCTGCGCCCCCAAACCCAGTTCCTAGTGGTCCCATCGAGATAACCACGCCCCCGTTTCAGACCGGCGGGTTTGTTGGCCCAGGAAGCTACCGGACCGGGCTCACGGCGGACGAGACCCAGACTCCGCTGGCCATCTCGGGCTATTCCAGGACCGCAGCGTCTCCCGGCAGGACGACGACGCATACCATCGACCGGAAAAGGCTGGACGTTGGCCTGCAGATTATTGACTTTGTTCTCGAACATTCTGTCTTGCTGCAGAATCTGATGCGCCACATCTACCGTGTGATCCGCATGCCCATCGTGCCGCACAAGCTCATGCTGCCGGCGACCGAGTCGTTGTTCAGCACCATCCGAGCTAGAGTGCCACTCAATGACGACGAGGCCAAGCTACACACCGTGATTCGCATCTTCCAGAGCTCCTACCAACCTATACAGGCCACGAGAACGACAACGGTGGACCAAGTATGCCAGTTGATCACCGGGGAGAACCTCCGATGGGAGACCATCGGCAACATCCTAGCAATGGCGAGCCTGTGCTTGATCCACATCCAGGGCCGCGACTTCACTCTCCTCGATCCAGAAAACCGGAGCAAGCAGGAGCTCATCCAACCATTTCATGGCATTACCGACGCTCTGACGACCCTGACCACTGCGTCGCCCGTCGTCAACGAGCTGGGTGTTGCTCTGAAATACAACCAGCTGCTGCTGGCTCTATACCGGTTTGGCGACTCGAGTAAGTTGTTGCGCTTATATTACGGCCATGTAGGTATCATTGATGGCATGCTTACGCCACACTACCTAACAGGCCGGCACCTCTATTCGATCCTTACGGAACTCACATCCGTCATCTACGCAACCGGCTTGCATCAAGACAGCAGCTTGGGCGGGCCCAATTCCGGCAAATACCCCGGCTTCATGCACCAATGGCGCCGGCGGTGTTTCACGGCCGTCTACTCGATGGACAAGACCATCGCCACGACTCTTGGGCGTCCGCCCCTGGTCCATCGCAACTACTGCGTCTTGGACGCTCCACTGGATTTTGACGATGACGACTTGGCAGGACCAGAGCTAGAGCGGGAGCTGCGAAAACTCGACCAGCACGGATGGAATACCGACGGGCGACGCCGAACGACGACCTTTATGCGTCTTCGGTACCTGCTCGCCATCGTCCGCGAGGAAGTCCTGGAGTTGCATCTGGGTGTAAACAACATTTCCGACGCCCCTAACAGGGCCCAGTAGGTTATATATCCGGAATCCCTCTATTCAACACCTTTCTTTCTCCCTTACAGCCTAGATGACTGGAACTGATCATCGTATCCAACTCTTTAGACTCGTATTACAAAAGCTTCAGTCCATCTGGGATAGCTGTCCTGACATCATGAAATACACTCCAGCTCTCTGGGACGGATCCATGACTTCTCACGACATCTGGTTCTTACTTCGTTTTTATCTCGACTATCTGTACTCCAGGTTCCTCATCTTCCGCTTCAATGCCCGCCAGGACCAGTCCCCGGAGAGCATTGAATTGCTCCTCTACGCAGCTAAGGACGTGCTCTCCACCGTACTCGTCTTCAACGAACAGCGCGAACTCATGCGCGAGGTCCGCAGCGACTTTTCGGCGGTCGTAAAGCCCCTCTCCTCCCCCTCCCCAACTACCTAACACCATCCGGCTTATCTCGCTTACTTACCTGCCCTGTGCTCCCAGTTCCTGCCCTACGGCCTCCCCTGCGCCGACACGCTCGCCGCCGAGCTGATGTACCGCCCCTCCTCCTTCGCCCCGTCGGCGCCCAGTTGTGCTGCTGGCCCGGGCCCCGACGGCCGCCCATCGCGTCTCGTCCGCGCCGAGGTCATTCGCGAGCTGACTGTGTACGCGTCGTGCCTGAGCTGGATGCCCGGCCGCGGCGGCAGGAGCTCCGAGTTCAGCCGCGAGGTGCAGTGGCGGCTGCTGCAGATCCTGGACCAGATCATTGACTCGCCCGCCGCGGCGGTCGGCTCGCCGCTGCCGCCGGGGGGCGATACCGCCCTGCTCGAGATGCGCGACCCCGGCGGCGGGCTCCGGCCCGGGGAGCGCGAGTCGTTGGATCCGGTCGTCGCCATGGCGAATGCTACTCACATGTTTTTTGGTTGGGACATGAACATGAATATGGACTCGCAGCTCGATTTGTTTTCGCTGTCGCTATTGTAGATCCTGAGAGCCGGATTTTGGCAGTCTAAAGGCGGCACGGGAAGGGTAGCATGGGAACTAGAGTGGGAGCGTTTGACGCGATGGCAGGAGTAGATCTTAACTATGGTAACTTAAGGATGGGGGTATTAACGGTCTTGTGATAATTAACGCGTGTGATGGTAAGTGAGCAACCTGGATAAGCAAGCGTCAGACTCTCACATTATAGAGTGCGCGCAATAAGATGATTCACAATTGTTAAGTTTCAAGTTATCTCGGACATCTTCCTTAGGAGACCCTAGGTTTGGTCTCTATTGAATAGCGGTAGCTTCAACACCTGGATATCCGGTCCACTACTACAACGGGTCAACACCAATAACCCAGCGATTTGATGACAGGCGGTGGTTGCTCGGTGTGGAAATTGCAATGCTTCCTACCGATAAATCCACGCATCGCGTGTTAGGTACACTTAAACCAGATCACCAGATCTCATTTGATCTACCCTGCTTGATGTAACTAAGCCTCGGCCAGATAACAGGAGTGCTAGCACTTTGGCATTTCTGAGGCGCTTGTTGGTTGACATGAGCCCAGATTTAACACCTTTTATCCCTGCCCTCCGCTTGCTGAACATCCATTGCCCATCACATCCCCCTTACGTGAGCTTACCACCCTGGCCCAGACCGGCCTGAACCGGTGGCCTCGCCAGTATCCGATCGATCCACCCTTTGACGTGGGGGTAGTCCTCCGGGTTGTACTGCTCGGTCGAGATGAGCTTGGTGATGATGGTCTGCCACGAGACAAAGACGAGGTCGGCAAACGAGTACTTGTTGCCGACCAGCCACGGGCCGTCGGCGCCAGAGCCGCCGGCCTCCTCGGCCTTCTTCTTGAGGATGCCCTCGAGCACGCCCGTCACGCGGTTGACCTCGCCGACGTAGCGCTCGATGGCGCTGGGGAGCTTCTCCTGGTGGAAGGCCTGGAACCAGGCGGCCTGGCCGTAGTAGGGGCCCTGGCCCGAGACCTGGAAGAAGAGGTACTGCTTGGCGTGGTACGACTCGGGCGTGCCGGCGGGGAAGGACAACTTGTGCTCCGGGTCGTACTTCTCGATCAGGTACTCGATGATGGCACCCGACTCCCATAGCGTCAGGTCCGTGTTGGGGTCGTAGATGGACGGCAGCCGCCCGTTGGGGTTGATGGCCGTGTAATCGGGCTTCTTGACGTCCGAGAGCGGCACGGGGATGGCCTCGTACGGCAGGCCCAGCTCCTCGAGCAGGATGGCCACCTTGGGCGGGTTGGGGCCGCCCTTGCCCCAGACCTTGATGGGCTTCAGGTTGGCGAAGGAGGACATGTTGATGAGTGGATGGATGAGTGTGTGGGTTGTTTTGCTTGGCTGGAGAGTTGGAAGAGAGCACGGGCTGTGGCGTCGAATCGAGGAGGCAACAGACGGAGAGGTGGCAAAGGGGGTATTAGTACCAAACGCGGCGCCCGTGTTCTCAGCTCCCCGGACCCCTGTGAGGCTCACCAAGATCAACAAAGATGCCCCGTCTCCAATGTCGCGAGCCGGTGGACGCGCATGTGAAACAGCCCGAGAGCCGAGTTAGGTAAGCGCAAGGCATCCTGTGCATCGGCAGCATCGCAGATGACAAAAGCATAGGTAATCGTGGCTATTCGTTATTGGTAATCATGGGCAATTGCCAAATGCGTGTGCATACTGCATAGTATGGCCGGTGCAGTTGTGACTTGCGAGATGGCCGGAGGGAAACACAGGCTGCAGTGCTGCACGGTTGCACTCGGCCCATCGCCTCTTCGGGATCCGGACTCCGGACTGAATTGTCTGGATTTGTCACATCATGTAATTGTAAGCTGGGCGGGCGGCGCCTAACGTGCAATATGATTAGTCGACGGCATGTGGGGCCATCACGTCAACTCTGATGCGAGGCCTGCGCTCCTGCCTCCAGGTGTAACCCGCGCCTCTCTGTAAGGTACCCGTGTAGCGACTGGGCTGATTGGCTGGTTGTGCCGCCGCTGTCTCTCAATGAAAAATTCAAAATCAGCCGTGTCAGTCTTCTGGAGCGGTGACACAAATGCTGTGAATCTCGTCAAGGATGACGAGATCATGAAAGCAACAACGTAGTGACAGGTAAGTTGGGATAGGTCAATCCACGGGTCGAGATTTCCAGTCTTCGGCTCGAAAGCTATAAAAGCAGAGAAAGTGTCAAAGTGGTTCACATGTGGAGGGCGTTGAGCTTGGCTGCAAGAGTTTCCCAAGAGTTTCAACCACTACATGTAAGCCAAGTTTGCCGTAACGTTAAAGGTATAATTATTACTACTTGCACTTGGCTCGATATGACAGGCAAAGGTTACTTATACTTGGCCTAACTTCGATTTGGTCAAATCATTGCCAATCTATCCAAGTTTCCATACAGAGTACCTTACCTACCCTAACCCCAGACCAGCACTCTCGTTTTTCTTCCAGCCTATAGCCCTCGTCGAAAGTAAGGTACTGATAGTATTGTTTGCCAGCAGCTTTGAGGCTCTGCCATTCAGCATAGGGGTCAGGTCCCTGAGTTTAATGCCTATTTATGAGCCGAACTTTTGAGCTACTACGTAGCACTAAGCCGCGGCTACTAGGTATTGAGCGATCATATAAACTAAAGTACCCATTATTGATAGTATCAGATATAGTGGTTAGTTCACTTGGGTTGGTTATATAGATGATAGTAGACAAAGGAGGTAACTACCTACAGTAACTCTGTCTGCCTGCATTGTCAAGCAGTCTGGTACTAATGAAGCAACTATTATATTGTAACGGGCTGGGCCCGAGATGGGCCTCGGTGACCCTCGACCAGCTCTCGTACAAGCACGGTCCACCAAACCCCCTGGATGAAGCTATTCCCACTTGACCCACAGTGTCTAGCAGCGCAGACCTGTGAAGATAAATTGGCTCTCGAGCTACCAGAGTCTCACATCTCTTCTTTCCTTCCCCAAGTTCAGTGTACTCGTAGAGTCGTCATCAGCTAGTTGCAATATACTACCTGAGACCGTTACATATATAGCTAATGGTAGTGTCGACAGCGGTATCTGATATCTACCTTATCTAGCTACCTATAGTCTAGTAGCCCTGGCAAGTCATCAAGTTGTTTTCAGTCACGTCTACCTGACAATCAACTTTGTTTGAGAAGTGGATTAACTGGTGCTTAATTTCGTTGTATTCTTGAACAACTTACTGGAGCTGATTTCATCAGTTTGAACCCTTGCTAGAGATACCTACAGTTACGTTTACTGAGTCTACCAAGAGACTCCCGTCCAGAACCGTCTTCCTCGTCATCATCCACGAGAAAACAGTTCGACAAATGCCGCTCAGAATGTTCAATTGTCTAGGATCTGGGCTGAGAAGTATACCTAGCCAAGGTGCTCAGCAGAACTACCTAAGGTTGGTATACAGGCCCGTCTATTACAAAAGAAGACGAGAGAAAGCACGAGGTGAAATCTGAAGGAACTCGTACATGTGAATGAGAAAAGTGGCTCTTCGTCATTATCCAGATGAGTACCGCACAGACTGAAACACACGCTTCTTCTTACAACCCCGAGTCAATCTGATCCACAATCGTCGTGTTGGTGTACGCCCACCAGTCCCGGCACGTCTGCGCGACGGTATTTGGAATGCGGTACTGGGCAATCAGATCCGGGCGCTCCAGAAACGTCGCCGACAAGCCCGTGCCGACGTGCCAAGCGACGTGGCAGTGGAAAACCCAAGCGCCCGGGTTGTCCGTCTCGAACGAGATGACCATGTACCCCCAGGCGGGAACAATCTGCGTGTCGCGCCGCTGCGGGTTAGACGGCCGCACGATCCGGCCGTCCCAGGTCTGGTTGTTGAAGCCGATGGCCTCGACAAAGTAGTTGTGCCCGTGCAGATGCATCGGGTGCGAGCGCTCGTTGTGGTTGTAGATGACGAAGCGGACCGAGGTGGCCCTGCCGATGTCGTCGACGTTCCACTGCGGGTCGTACGGGTACGAGTTGTTGCCCAGGTTGGAGAGGAGCAGGATCGGGTGGTTGAAGTTGACGCGGAAGGCCGAGTCATTGAACCGGAAGAGATACGAGCCCGTCTCGTTCTGGCGCAGCGTCATGTAGTAGGTATGCGTTGCCGCTGGGGGACCGGGCAGCGTATACGGCTGCAGGGGCTCCGTCTTCTCCAGCGGCTCATTCTCGCAGTCCTGGATTGACGCCGTGAACGCCGGCCAAGGGTTGGGCGTCGGCGACTGGTTGTTGTTGTTAAAGTAGGCAATGGCGCTGACGTTCGGCTGAATCGTGTTGGCGCAGGGCCTGTCTGGGCTCTGGGAGCGGATGAAAAACGGGGCGCGCTCATTCGGGCCGGTTTCGACAATGACATCCGTCCGTTGGCCGACGCCGAGCTTGAGATCTTGAAGGTGTGGTTTCCTGATTAGTCCAGGTCGACCTAGTTGGATGTTGTCAGGGGTGAAGGGACTTACACTGGGCTTGATACGGCTTGACAGGAACAAAGTCGTTCGCAATCACCGTCATGTTATGTCCGTCGACCGAGAACGTCTGCAAGGCACTGGCACCGGCATTGACAACCCTGAGAAGATGCTTCTTGCCGCGCTGGAACTTGAACTTGGCAAGCCCTGCATCACTCCTGCATGGAGTGTTATCGCCAGGAGCCTTCAGAGAGCAGTTGAAGTTGTTGCGGCCATTGATCAGCGTATTGACAGCAGGAACGGCCACAACGTTGAAGTCCGAGTTGAATATGGCCCTGTTGATATCCGAGTGGTTTCGGTGGTAATAATCCGTGAGCAGAATCGGGCCAATGTCTGAGAGTGGGACTGGAGTCAGCTGTGCGTTTCCTGAGTTCAAGGTAGGGCGATACTGCTAACCGACGTCGTAGGGCTGGTGCTGCGGCCCGTGGATCACGATGGGGCCAAAGGCGCCGTCTGCATATTGGGACGAGTAGTGAGAATGATACCACGAAGTGCCATACGAGTCGGCAACGAAGGTGTAGGTGAAGGTTTTTCCAGGAGCGATGGGGCACTGCGTGATGCCTGGCACGCCGTCCATCCACGGCGAGTTCTTTTGCAAGAAGCCGTGCCAGTGGATGGCTGTTCCGTCAACAGGGCCTTGAATGTCGTTCTTGACTTTGATCTCAATGATGTCACCCCTAAGGTTGTCTCCAGTTAGTTGGAACCCAGACTGGTAGACCGTAGCCCAGAAAGCAAGCGCACATACCAGTTGGCCTCGATCAGGGGACCCGGAAACTGGCCATTGATGAGGATGGATTTCTTTTGATATCCATCCGGAGCGATAGTCTTTCGGGAGATGGTGAACTCATAGCGACGAATAACACTTTGCAGGTGATTAGTGTCCGCGGTTAATGCCTGGACTGGACGCAGGCATAACATACCCGGTGACAGGTGGAACTGCGGAATGTATGTTAGACGAAATGGGCAGAACGCGGAAAACTGGTAGTAGAGCAGTAACCTACCCTCTGAGCGGAAACTGTATGAGCAACACTGGGATTAGACAACCTAGGTGGTATCTGAGAAACTCACCCCCTATGCAATTATTAGGTTAGCTGGAGCGACTGGGGCGTTCTGAGACTTTGGGCCACTTACATGGGTTCGACCGTTTTGAGAGATTCGCTGCAAGGCCCCATGGCAAGCCGCGTGGCAGAGGCTGCGCGCGGCATGTGAGCTCTGAACTACCTATGCCAGTGACTTGAAGAGCACGATGACTTACCGTCACAGGGTCTTCCGTATAGAGAAAGGGCACGCCAAGGTTGGGATATTCCGCGAGAGCAGGTTCTTGGACGAATCAGCGCAAGTCCAGGTGACATGTCCAGTCCAGGACCACGTGTCCAGCCCGACGATCAATCTGACGCCGGAAAATACACGCATATTGGAGTATGAATCGGACGTACCTGGAAGATCTGTCTCACCTGCCACAGCAAGGCCACTCCACAGCAGGAGCACCCCGAGGTGCAGTTTACACGGCAGCTTCATGCTGATTGGACCCCGATATTAGGTGAATATGCAAGGGCAAACAAACTTTATCAGATCTCATGCACCCGAGAAGAAAACGAAGCTAAGGTACAGAGACCAAGGTTGTCAACTTGTCTTCACGTCTTTCTGTCCAGCCCTGAGAGCCAGCGGATTTGGGACTTTTTAAACTCCTGACAATGCTCGACATCTTTCCGAGTTCGACATCTTTCCGAGTCGCTAGGCCACGAGTCTTACGCCCCAAAGCTTCGTCGGGCTCCGCCCCAGCGGCCCAGCACTGCAGTCTAATCTCCATAGGGGCCTCGACTCGGACGGAGCCAGGCCAAGCCAATACCAAGCACCCCCATGGGTGATGATGCTGCTGAGCTGAAGCCCAGTCCATTCACAGCAGCGTATCGGAGAGTAAGGCTGCTCTCAGCCGTCAGTCGTGAGACCTCTTTTTCCGGGTAACCAATCCATGTCAGCTGCATACGCGAGCCATGCCCGCTGCAGGAACGGGCTGATGCAGGCTGCGGAAAGCCTGCCACATGGAGGTCAGACAAGGGTCCCTCGAGTGTCCAAGAAAGGCAATTTTGATCCGTGCTACGGTCTAGACTGGACGCATCAGCGAAGCCCCGCAGCGCGACCCCCGCGGCGGCGACTTCGTCGGGGACCGAGGGTGGCATCGGAGGGGACTGCTGGCTACCTAGGGGTATGCGAGGTGCGGACTAGTCAGAATGCAGGTGCCTGCATAGGAGAGACGGATTCCGGCAGCTCCGAGGCCAGTTCGAGCCGACATGGCCGATGGCGTTCAACAGTCGTTCTAAGTTGGAGTGAATTTAATGATTACGCGTATTGCGGAGTACTACACAGGCCCAGGCCTTCCACCGGAGCTGCGAACTCCTTTACCTTGCCTTACCCCTTGGTACCTTAAGTAAGGTACCTAAGGTGAAGACATGGGCCCAGGGATATGCGGGCAAATACTTTAGGCAGGAGAGAATGTTATGAGCGGGTCAATTAGAAACTACCTAAGGTAGGTACCCAGACGTCAACCGCAGGCAGCAACGCAGAGTCTCTATCGCCGCGTTGCTAAGATAATCGCAGCCGGAAAGTATGCTTCGACTACTCGTCCGTCGCTGAGCAGGCCTCGCAGCTCCTCCCACAACGGCTCGTAACTGTGCGGATCCAACTTGGAAAACGGAAACGATGCAAAGTGAGACTTGATGCCGTCCAGGTCCGTCTTGATGCTCCACCCTTCCTCCGCCTCCCAGACTTCGACATCGTGGGGCCCCGTGTAGCTGGGCTCGGTGGCCTCGATCTCGGGCGGGAGCAGAGACGTCAAGCCGCCGTTACCCATGTTGAGGCGGATGCGCCTGGCCCCCGGCGCAAACAAGCGCTCGTCAAGCGGCGCGACGTTGTAGTAGCCCGAACTGCGCTCCATCACCTTCTGCGTCTGCGCCGCGTCTTGGGCGTGCTTGAGCAAGGCCCGCCCGGCCTGGTGCGTGATGCGAGCCCACACGTCCTGCACCTCGGCGTCGCGGAAGCGGGCGGAGCCGAACGCTCCCACGACCAGCGTTCCGCCGGGCCTCAGCTGCTGAGCAATGGCCTGCACGGCCTTTTCCTGGTCTGCGAAGTGCAGGACGTTGGTGGCGAACACTAGGTCGACGCTGCCCGGAGGGATATCTGCCCCGTCTTCAATCCGGGCCACGCGGTAGCGGAAACCGTCGGTCCCCAGGCGACCTTGGGCGAGTCGTACGTTCGTTTCGGCGATATCTGAGATGATGACGGTCTCAAAGCGGGACCGCAACTTTCGCCCATACGGTCCGTTCCCTGCTCCGGCATCATGAACGGTGCCGAACCGGCCCCCTTTCTCCTCGTGGTAGCGGAAAATGCGGTCGAAGAAGGCTTCGGGCGCTGTTGGCCGGCCCTTTAGGTAGTTATTCCAGAAAGCCTCGTCTTCCTCGAAGATGGTGCTGCTCGCCATTTCGACGCATAGAGTGGAAGGAACTGGGAGGGGGAAAACGAGAATTGAAGGTATTGGGTCCTCAGTAATGGTTGACTAAGGTAGCAGTTACTTCGGGACACGGTCAGTCCCCTCAGGTTCGTGCGGTTCAGAGATACTTAGGGTTAGAAGATCTGTCTCAGAAGCAGGAGCCCTATCGGAGTCTCTCGAAATGTAACCTTCGGTTGCGCCCTTCAGCATGCAATATAAGTCCGGTAGAACTTGAGCTTCTCGGAAATCGCGGAGCCCGACGCTTGATGGTGTCGGGCCGCGTCGAAGCGAAGCAGAAGCCTGGACCCTAGGTTGATTCTCATGAAGGAGGGCATGAAGAAACACCAGGAACAGCTCGGGCAAAACTTCAAGTTGAATTTGGGCGCGGAATGCAATATTGGACGGCGATGTCTACGCAGAAACCTCCTCCAGCGTCCCGGTAAGTCCCAGCACAGCTCCCAGCAGCGGCGGCAGCGAGCGAACTACGTGCAACCAACGCCATTTCCAAATCAACCCATGCACCTCGGCCAAGTCCTTTGCGCCGCCGGCCATGCTGTTGAGTCCGAATAAGAGGTTGTTCGTCGGTGCCATAACAATCCAGGTGAAGGGCACAATGCTCATAGTGGCAGCAGCGGCAAGCACGTAGATGCGCCACGGCCGGCCCGAGCGAGCGTTGGTGGTGGCTGCTAGGCCGTAGAAAAGCGTCGTCCCAATCGCGCCCGCCGGTATGTACTGAATGCCATAGCCGTATAGCCTTGCCCACTGGCGAACCAAATGCGCCGGGTCGGGGTTGATGTCGACGAGAACCGGAATTGCGATGAGCGAGAGCCCCGTCATGGCACCTGCATCGAGTTCACCGTGAGTTTTCGTCGTGTTCTAAATGAACCTGAGACTTTGTCCACCGCGGGCACATTCTTACCAGCAAGAAAGGTTCCCGAGACGACGGCCGTGGCTTGCAGCCGGACATCAGATGGACCTGATCTGTGTTCCTTGGTGGCCATTTTGGGGAGGATTACGAAAAAGCAGCAAGTGAGCCTTTTCAGCGGGCATAAAAAGGCAACAACAAGGCTGAAATTGAGTGCTTCCTTGCTACCGTTCTGGCCGGTAAGTAGTGATGTTGATTCCTGCGTCGGCACAACGTACTCCGTTGTATGTCGAAAGGACATTGACTTTCAGACTCGCCTTGCTCGAGGGTGTTCCGAGTCAATTGCCACGCCACGTTGGATGTGGGGAACGGAGCGATTAATCTTCCCAGCCAGGCCCCGGCCTTGCGCGACGGCCAGGCAGCGTACCGCTCTGATCGGAACCCGACAGAGATCCATGATCCATCGGGAGGCAGGCAGACAGGGGGCTTCTCAGACCTCCACCGGAGAACGTCGAACAGAGTGACGACTGTTCGAAATCGCAACCTTTGCCATTCATTGCTTGAATAGGTAGCTACGCACTGTTAGAATGAATTCGGAGCAAAACTCTGCATTTCAATGATTGCATTTTGTGTCATTGCGTTCAGGTTATGCATGTCAAGCGGTAAGTGCAAACCACTTTCTCTGGCCGGCCTTGAGCTCAAAGGCCACCTTCCCATCCCCAGCCAGCTTCCGTAGAATTTCATCCATGAACGGCTCGATTGCTTTCTCCCTCACCTGCTCACCCAACTTCTCTCCATACATGATTGTGGCCAACTGCCGTACCGTAACACTTCCCTTGGCAGAAGGCGTAGCCCTCCTCTGCTCCTGCCTCACGCGAGCGAGCGCCTGCAGGATCTTCTCCTCGCGTCTTTCTTTGATTCGAATCTCCAGATCGATTTTTGCCGGCAGGTTTCGGATCACTTCCCCATGCGCCGGGTATCCGATGGCACAGCCGTGCGATTGCATGGCGCGGAGAGACTGCATCCAGGTCGGGAGGACCTCGACGGCAGCCGTGCCGTGGCCGAGCACGTTGTCCCCCGTGAACATGGCGTTCTCTTCCTCGAGAATGAAGCACATGTGGTCGTGCGAGTGGCCGGGCGCGTGGACGGCTCGTACCGTTGCGCCTTCGACGCGGAATACTTGGCCGTCGGCGATCGGCTGCTGGCCCTCCCCCGGGGTGTGTTTGTAGATCGAGTCGGAAAGGTGCGGGTAGAGACGGAGGAGGTCTGGTACGCCTCCCGTGTGGTCCCCGTGCCAGTGTGTGAGGAGCACATGCGACAAGACGACCGAGGAATCAGCGAGGTCAGCGTCGATCAAGTCCGCGTATTCGGGGATCCCTTGGCCGGTATCGATGATGAGTCTTTCTCGACCAGTCCCGACAATATATGTGTTTGTCCCTTGGAGTGTAAACTATGATACGCAAAAGTCCAGTCAGTCAGCTGGCTGCAACGAGACGAGGACAGAGAGCGAGGAGCAACACGGGGGGCACCATGCTTGCCTTTCCCTCATTTTGACCCAAGATACGCCGCACCCGGGGACTGATTTGCTCGACATCGTTCAGCTTTGGAAGGTTGGCCACTTGAGAATCGAGATAGTCCTCGAAGGCGCAGATGTTGAGCGCCTTGTTGATCTGTTTGTAACCGCCCCGGCCCATGTTGAGAGAGGCACGGCGACGAGAATATTGTGTAGGCCTCTGTTTTGCCTCTTTTTCCCTTCTTCTTCTTCTGTTTCCTTTGCCGATGAGGTTCGAGGAGGAAGAGAGATACCGTCTTGCATCAGAACTCAACAAAGGTCACAAAACGGGCAAAAAGTCTCTCCTTCGGCACATTAATCAGCTTATCAAGCACTCCGTAACGCTGATAGTCTCAAGCACTCCGAACCTTTGACAGGCCCCCGTGCACTTCGGGCCGAGGAAACCATGGACAGGAGAGCCAAGACATCGGTGATAACGGGGGATTAATCCACAATACCGATCTCGTTACTCCTTGAGACCGGAGAGCCCGAGACGACCCGGGCACTCTCCTTCGGCAGCTGCTTGGGCCGCTGCTACCACACCGGATGACGAGGGATCAATGCCGTCTTTTCATTCAGGTTGTCCTCCTTATGCCGCATCCGACCTTGGGTTGCGGATGAAACCATAACTGGCTCAACTTAAACCACATGACTCCCATTCCGTCCACTGAAGTCCCTTGATTATTTCTGTTGTTCAGTCTTTCTCCAGTTTTGCGTCTGTTCCAGTCCCTTGACTAAGCATCTGCATGTGCCCTCAACGGCAAGGATCTCTCCACCATGTCGTCGCCGTCCGACAACCACGCCAACTTCACGCCATTCTCCGAGTCCCAGGGGGACTTTGGTCATCTGAGGCTCGCCTACTTCAGCAATGAGTTTCCCCACGACAATCTTCAACATCTGCTCCGCCGACTGTGGAACAGCAGCAAAGACCGGGCTCACCCGCTCCTGGCCATCTTCATAGCCGAGGCGACCCTGGCGGTCCGCGAGGAGATCCGGGATCTGCCTGCCGTACTCAGATCCGAGATTCCAGCCTTCCAAACCATCTTCGAGTTTGCAGAGTACCCGGAGCTCCGTAGAGGCCAGCTCTCCGGATCCATAGACGGCGTACTGCTCTCGGCTCTCGAGCTCGCCACATTCATTGGGTACGTGATTGTGATCATTACCTACCTCATGCTGCGACACAACTGAAACTACCGCTGCGAGCATGCATCAGCAGCGGCCACGCTGACATCAAATGACAACAGATACTATGAGCACAATCCCGACAAATACGGCGCGGACGTGCCCAGCAGTTATCTGGCTGGGCTAGGCATTGGTTTGCTAGCCACTGCGGCCGTTGCGTTGTCGCCCAATCTCGTGGATCTGCCCATTGCCGCAGCCGAGGCCGTCCGCACCGCCTTCCGTCTCGGCGTTGTCGTCGACCAGGTCTCGCAAAACCTGCAACCGCGGGACCTGTCCGACCCCAGTACGCCAGACAGCTGGGCGTATGTTATCCCGGATGTGACGCCCGAGAGGGTGCAGAAGGAGCTCGATTCCATTCATGCGAAAGAGGTATGTGATGGGAGCTGCAGAACTCTCGGGTGAGAGAGGTCGGTGTTGCGGGCACTAACGCCGAGACCATAGAAGACGCCCACGGCAGGCAAGATCTTCATCAGCGCTCTCAGCAAAACCTCGGTTACTGTGAGCGGGCCTCCGGGAAGGCTGAAGCGCGTCTTCCTAATATCCGACTTCTTTCGGGACGCCAAGTCCATTGCCCTGCCGGTGTATGGAGGTCTCTGCCATGCTCCGCACATCTACCATGACGGACACGCTCGAGAGGTTGTCCGGGTCAGTTCGTCCAAGCTGAACCACCGGAGGTTTACTCCCGTCATCCCCGTGCTTTCGACGAGCACTGGCCGCCCTTTTCCGGCCCCAGATGCCGAGGGCCTTCTTGAGAACATCATCAAGGAGATCCTCACACAGGCAATCCAATGGGACAACGTCATCCAGGCCGTGGTTGCGGGCGCTTCCAACCTGGGCGCGGTGCAACTTCAGCTGCAAGCTGTCGGAACGAAGCTGCCTTGATGGCTGCATTCAACGGACCTCGGTGGTTGATTGGTGCCAGCACTGCAACCCCTCTTCCTTACATACTTAGTCCTCTCCCATGCCCATCAACAGCATGAAAAAAATCAATCACTTTTTACCACCTTAAGAAATCGATACACTGCTTTGACTGGGAATAGCTTCTTCCAACGCATATCTCAGCGGTCGTCGCCCTGCAGGTTCCAACAATTAAGAGTCTCATTTTGCAACGCTTCGCTGCGCAACGCTCGACCACCCATTGAGCTACCGAACGGAACCCATCTAACGACGACCGACTGTCGCCCTCCATTCCCAACCTACGATGTC